GAGAGAGAGAGAGAGAGAGAGAGAGAGAGAGAGAGAGAGAGAGAGAGAGAGAGATGCCGTTTAAGTACCGCGAAAGAGTGTAGCGCAACGGGGTTGCTTAATTCACCGTCGTAAGTCTTCCGCGAATTACTTTCGCTAATTAACATCTCGGAAACGAATTACGCGAGAGTCTTCTTCAGTCGCGAAGATCGTGTAGCAACGGCGATGTCGTGCCACGGTGAAAAATCCAACTCCTCTCGCGCGAGAGGAGTCCTCGTCTACTCGTAAGACCATGACGGCGGCGGCGTCGACGGCGTATTGTCTCTCCCTCTTGCTCGTTTCCATCTGCGCCTATTATCTGACTCTATTTTCCAATCTATCCTCGTACGGCGCACCTTGTCTCGTCCAGGCCGCTAGTCTTCTTCTCCAAGCGATGCGGAGCGATGCGCTCTTTGTCTCGCGGTCCAAATAGAGGCGGCACTCGAGACGGCACAAAGAGCGGCGAACCCGGAGAGGACGCGATAACAGAGAGCAAGAAAGCTCAAGATAAGACCGAGGACCCTCGCAGTCACGCTTCCTACGTCGACGCGTTCCCGCCGAAGTGTGTACATGGTACGTTCGTGCGTGCTTGATAGTCTGCATTAAGCTAGTCGAATCGCGAGCCTGGAACGCGCCAACGAAACGATCGCGAACCGTAACGATATCCTTTGACATTTTATTTAACCTTCCGCGTACAGACGTAGTCTTTTTGGAACGTACAGTACAATCTGGTTCTGTCAGAGTAACTTTGATTTACCGTGACTTACTTACTTTTTTGAGAATCTATACCTTTGGACATATTTTTCCCCGGAAATGTAGAAAAACCTCGGTCATAAGGCAGCGGTACAACAAAATCTGCAAATAGATTGGCGCTACTTTGAAGTCTCCTTGCTAAATCCTTGACGAAAGTTGCTGAGCTAATGAATTCGTGTTCGGCTCTCACAGACCCGACATTGTACGATGAGGACTAACATTTCGTATGGCTTAATGTTTTATTATTTATCATTATTATATTGAACTTGCTCTCATGGCATGCGCGAGTCCTTCGATGGTGCCGTCGTGGGACTTCGCAAGATTCTGTTAAATTGATTCGCGTTGAATTCACGCAAAAAATTTTGAAGAAAAATACAATCGATCGTCAGACACGTTTGATTACACTTTAATACGGTCTCGGACAGGTAACTCGAACGAACGAGCGGACGATCGATCGTTTGGTTGTCGATTCCTCTTTTCGACATCCCAGCTCGCCCTTGCTATCGCGATGCACGCGATACTCATGGATGCACTCGTGGATGCACTCGGCGGAGCCGCGGAGTGCATATGCGCTCGCGGACATACACAACGTCGTGCGCTCGTACCAAATGGGAGAGAAGGAGGGAAGGTGAGGGGAAGAGGGAGAGTCGTTCAAACGAGGGGCCCGCAGCGCCTAGGCTTTGGGCCTCGTCGCGTGTTTTTGCCCCCCGTCTGGCCCCCACCGCCGCTCATCGTTTTTTGTCTGGTGCACCGCATGCTCTGCACGGCTCACCTCACCTCCTCTTCACCTCGGCCGACGTACCTCCTCCTCCTCCTCCTCCTCCTCCTCCTCCGCTCCCCTTCTTGCTTCTCTCTCTTTCTCTTTCGATCTCTTCGTTGCTCGCTCGCTCTCGCTCTCAATCAGGGCCGGCGTGAATACGCTCGCGATGCTTCGCCTGCAAAATATCGACGCCGAGCGTTTCCGATGACGATATCTTGCTGTCGACATAGCCGAGACGATCGCGTCCATTTCGCGAGCCAGAATTTCCGAACGTGTCTCATATTTTTGGAATGCGCGTCGATTTCGACAGGACTCGGACGCGGCTCCTCGTCGCGCATCGATGAAAGAGGAAAGAGTCTCAGTGTTTTAAGGGAAATGCATTGCTTTTCGCGCGCTAATCATGATTCGGTATTCATGCAACCTCCTGCCAGGATGATTCGCGATTCTCATCAGGTTTACTCTCCGCGCTCTCGTCTCGTTCGTCGAGCGTGGCATTGTAACGTTACCTGGCGCGAGATCGCGGATCTCATCGTCGAGATATACAATGCACAATTTTTCGCGTTGCTTGCACTGTTCGTGCACTGTGACGCTAGGCGTCCAATGAAGAATCGTTATTGTTATTATTTATCGTTATTATATTGAAAAGGAAGGCTGCTCGACACGTGTCATCCACGCGGATTAGTATTCGCGAGCGAAAGGGCAATCCTATCTCGAAACAAGCACCGGAGATCCTTCTCTGGCCCCGCTCTGTCGGGACTCGTGGACGCGCTCGAGAACTCACGACTCACCCACCGCCAGGCTGGCGAATGTTCACGCCGTCCCTGCTCTCGATCTCCTCTTCGTCGTCGCCATCGTCGTCGTCGTCGTCGTCGTCGCGGTTCTTCGCCGCGCCGCGTTCAGGACGGTATCTCTTCGAGCCGAGACACGCGCACGGACACGCGTGTCCCTGCCGCGCGCGGTAGAAGGAGAACGAGGAAGCGACGGAGGCCGTCGGACGAAGCCGGAGACCTGAGCCCTGTTCCGCGGTCGTTGCCGAGAGAAGTCGGAGAGAGAGAAAGAGTGGAGAAAGAGAGAGCGAGACGAACGGACGGAAGGACAGAGGGGCGGGCGGGCGGGGGAGGGGGGGAAAGATGGGTTAGCCGACGGAGGATGCGGTTGCTCCGCCGATCTCGATGCACCTGCCTGCCGACGTTGACGAAGCCGCGGCGATTCGCCATCGGGCTGTACGCGCGCGGTACTCGAGAGAAGGACTTGCGAGATCGCGATCGCGACGGAGGTGATTCAACCCTTCCCGTCTGAGAGCCGTTTCTTCTTCCTTTCCCTTTTGTCTGTGTTCCTTTTGGTGAAGGAACTTTTTGTCGGTTCTCGGCGCGCCGAATGATTTCGGTTAATCGCTTAGTCGTACAGACCCGTTCGATAATTCGATAATTTTTTCCGCTCTCGCGCGACGGCAGCCTCTCTCGATGTACGCGTTCCGTTATTTCGTGTTCCGGCCGATTCACTGATGCGCCGTAACTACTACGTGCTGTTAAGTTACAAAAAATGACAACGTGCGCCGAAAGAACGTCGTCCTCGTTCTGAGGACGCGCGCGACTCGACGGGCGGTCACTTTTTGTGGGGGGACTCGTGGAAATGTCGGCGAAGTGCCGCGGGTGAGGGAATTTAACACCTCCGTTTAGCACCTCGCCGCGAACCGAATCCGAATTTATCGTATAATCGGACGCTAATTAGCGGCTAATTGGCCGCTCTCCAGTGACGGATTTATTACCGTGCGCCACGCGATGCATTTACGTGCTGCGTTTCGGCGGCGCGCACGTTCCGCGTGCGCGTTTCAGCCGCGGCGTTTTAGACGGCAGAGCGAGGCGAGAGAGAGAGAGAGAGAGAGAGAGAGAGAGAGAGAGAGAGAGAGAGTGAGTGAGAGAGAGAGAGAGAGAGAGGAAGACGACATTACGTGACCGATAACACTAGCGGCTACTGATGCGTCTTTACGAGTGCGATTACACGCGCTCCGGTCGCACGCGAGTCCTTGAAGATAGCAAGGCTGCGGAAAATGGCTTTAATCGTTTCCACGTGTCGATGATTTGCCCGGCGAGACGCCACACGGGACGTTACGATCGGTTGACGTCGCGGTCGCTTATGTTTTGCGCTTAGTAGTCTCGGCGCGACGCGAACAGACACTAAAGCCACAGAGGTGGCATGCACCCTACAGTGTCGTTTAATTAAATAATACGTTTTCGTAAGTACACGCAGAAAAATACATTCGAATAAATGTCACTTGCTTCAAGTATTTCGCAAACTTCTGTATTAGCAATTCACCGTGTCACAAGTTCGCCGTAAATTTTGTCAAATTTACTCAAAATGCATTCTAAATCCTAACATTTCAATCAAGAAGGTACAATTAAAAAGTTCGGTACTCATATATACACGGAGAGAACATTATAGTTTTCCTTTCATTTTCATATAAGTTTTTTTCAATTTTTCTGTGTTTCCAGTAATCCAGGAATAGATTCACTTAGATCTTGCTAAGGAATATAATAATAAATTTTGCTAGAAATATAGCGACTGTTTTAATAGTACGGTTTCAGTTTCTAAAATATAAGCAGAAAATGATAATCCTTTCATAAAATGAAAAAATTGTGAATCACTGTATGGTAATATTTATTATAAAATTCTCTTTGTACACTACACAGAGTCGAAGCGTCGATTTTTTCTTCAAAAAAGTTTTCAGTATTCTCATAAAAAGAATCAATTCTTCTTTCCAGTGCATGATGGAGCTTTTCTTAAATTTATGATGAATATATTCTACGACTACTATCAAGACAGAGAAAATATTCCTTACTGAAGATAATTATAACTGAAAAGGAAAAGAATAAACTGATCGCTTTTCTCAGCAACAAAATATTTTTCTGTGTGTAATATCGAATTATCGCTCGAAACTCGGAGAGACTTATGTCAAAACAATCTTTGATCTGACACTCTTAGAGTTGTATAAGGTTAAGAATATTATTCTTTCATTAATGACAATTTCATACTAGTGTTTCGCTAAAATATCGCGACAATTCCGAATTGTGCGAATTGTGCGAGTTTTACAGTGATGTATTGGGAGATTTTCCATCGTGTGGAGGAAGTGCATCGTTGACGAGTCCGATTTTCGTTTGCAGTGGGTGCGAGTGGCTACATCGTCTCGACGGCGCTCGTGCTGATAGTCGGAGCACTGGTGGGTGTCCTGGCGACGATATCGCGTCATCTCCATCATCGTCGGCTGCTGGTGCACGAGCCGGTCCCTCCCGGCTCTGCCTCCGCTTCCGCCTCGATCCTCCACCACCATCGGCATCGTCATCATCGCCACCGTCATCGTCGCGAGGAGCCGCCGCCGCCGCCGTTACAGCGCTGCCTCCTGCTGCAGGATCACTGTCGTCATCCTGGTACACCGGTGAGTACACATTCAAACACGATACTGCGGTTCGGATTTTGTACGCTGCGCTCTTAAAACATTCCACTGAGGAACTTGCATGTGTCACTCGAGACAATTGTGCTCTCTTAAAATGAATCTGTCAAATATTCACTGAAAATAGTGAATATACACTAATTTGCAATTATAAGTATAGCATTGAAAGTGCTCAGTGCTATACTTATATCAGTGACTATTCACTGATTCACTTTAAGAGAGTAGGATCGCGTGGCACGAGTAATTTAGTCGAGTAACCTGGTCGACTCGAATCGAAGAGGGAGGAAATGGCTTTAAGTACGATTATTAAAATTGCATGCTAATAAAAGCGTCGAAGCACACGCCAGACGCGATACGGGTGTTTGAAGGAGCGATCGCTCGATTATTTTGAATCGGAATCGGAAATTGTATTTCGACAAGCTTCCGTAAAAAGCAGATTATGATAAGTGCTTTACGATAACGCGGTTATAACAAACAAGTGACGCACTCGCTTCGCGAGTGAGGAGCATATTTGTTCCCGCATACCTGTCGGCAAAACAAAGTATCCCGATAGTAAACACTAAAGAGAGGACCATCGCGATAACAACCACGCTGCAAGTTGTTGCGTCACTGATAAATTTATATATAGATTATCGCGTCGCGTTTTACCTCTCTCGGCGGCAGAAATAAAACCGAACAGCAAACTTCCGCGTATTCGTCGAAAGCGCGCGCGTCCGCTAATTTTAGCGGACTTGACCGAGAAAAAGAGAGAAAGAGAAAGAGGGGGGGGGG